TGCGTACATACTTCTGTATGTACATACATTAGACTATGCCAAATAAAATGATTTTTTTTGGTCCCTTATGAAAATTTCGTTTTCGGCCACAATAAAATAATAATTGAGGCGTCATTTTAGCCTTCTGTCGTCGTTTTTCAGTTAGCGCTCGCAAAAATAAGAATTTTTTAAGAAAAAAATTTGTTTACCTTTTTTAACAAACAGTTAAAATAAAGAGACAACCTTGTAGCTAATTGAATTTTAGTATAATCAGTTCAAGCTTAAAGTAGCTGCGACTTACCGTTGATTTTTGGCATTTCTAGTTTGTTTACGGCGTGAGTAATTTTTTTCCATAAAAAAGTGTTTTCAACGATTTGTTCATATGGACAAAAATTAGCGAAATCTTCAACAATAAAAACTAAGCACTTGCTTTCCTTAACATTTCAGAACTTTTACTCGATTTATTCAAATAAATTTAAGAAAAAGGTCTGAAATTTTAAGAAATAGTAGTTGCTTAGTTTTTGTTTCATAAGGCCCATGAAGGAAATCTTAAAATATAATACATATTATATCTAAAATATTAAATAAGCTACTTTATTGCACTAAACTAATATTTCGATGATTACTTTATAACCTCCTGCCGAAGTAAATATTTGTGGATAATTATAACTATGGGAATGTTTAAAAAGCCCTAAAGTTTTAGATGCAGGTAAGACAGCTAATTGACAGCAGCAGTTGAACACTTTACAATCGCTAACTAAGCACTTAACCTTGTATACAAATAATAGAATCTGACAACTGATAAATGGTAGCAACAATTATACTTTAGTCAGAATTTCTGAAACGGACCACTTCAATTGTCATATTTTATTTCCAATCAGCAGTGGTATTTTCTCGCAGCTATTGACAATGAAATCAAATGTCGTAAATCAAATAAAGGTAATATTGCTTCTAAATTCTTGGAAATTATTTATTTGTACTTTACTGGGAACAATAATTAGATACAAGTTGTATACAATAATTAGATACTAGAAATATAATAGGAATCAAAATTTCCTACAATTTAGTGATAAAAAGTACAATTGGAATTACATTTTCATACGAAATTGGGAAAAGCAATTATCAACACTGGTTCAATTGCTTAAATACAGAATACAGAAATTCACAGCTACAGCCGACTCTCGGAAATGAGATAAAAATATCAGAGCAAAAAGTGTAAAAATTTCCAAGAAATTTTTTTTGGCAGGGCACTTGTGGCAAAAGAAATAGGTCAGTTGTGACATTTACCCAAAAATTGGCGTAAATTGACACAAACAATGTGTATACATTTTCCAAATCTATTTCAAATAAATTTGATGAAAGCTGATTCTGTAGCTTTACGTTCGGTTAAATAAAAAGTAAAACCAAGTTTTCTTTTATCCTCCTACGCGTTTCGGCGTCGTTTTCACCTTCATCAGGGAGTCTGTTTATTTGAAACAAAACATAAAAACAATGATGAAATTTATTTGTTGTACCTATCGTGCGTCTGCTAAACAGGCTGTGGTCTTAGTTTTTACCAGAGTTGCGCATTTTTACAATAGTGCAATTCAGTGGTACAGCAAAAATGCCCAACCCAGGTGTTTACAAATATTCTTTACCCAAAATTGGAATACATTTTTTTACAAATTTGTACTAATATACCAATCTTGTGATCCGGCCTTAAGAAACTAATAATTCTCGTTTTTCTGAAATTATTTGTAAATTTTTTTATACTAAATATCAAGGCAATAAAAACTCAAGTCAAGCATGTTCGGTCGAGCAGTACCTTAAACTCTTTATGCTTTCTCATAAAATTAAGTAACTAAAAATCAGAAATATTTTTTAAGAAAATAAATGCTCCGCATTAGCGATGGCGTAGAACCGGGTCCTTTAAAAAACCGACCGGAACTACATTCCAAAAGAACCAAAAAACGGTTCCGAAAGAACAGAAACTCGATTCCGAAAGAACTTAAAAACCATTCCAATAAAACCGAAAACGGATTCTACAGAACAGAAAATCAGCCACCAAGCGCACATTGCACTACAAAAAATTTATTGTTTTGGCATAAAGTCTAAATATGAAGAGTTCTGAGTTGGCCTACCAAATTTTGTTCGCTCCGAGGCACTATATTATAGCAACAAGTAATTTTTAAGCAAAAAACAAAACCGACTTCAATTCTCAAATAAAAATTTAAGATTTTCGTTAATTTCTTCATGATCCAATGAGGTAACACCTTTCATTTGCACGTGGTCTAAAGTTATACGGTAACATACATAAAAAAATAAAAATAAAATATATGAAGTCGGTTATAACACTAAATTGAATTTTTGTAACAACTTTTCATCTTTTGTTAAGCTATTTCGATAGGGCCTATTTCCGTTACTACTTTTTTCTAAATTCCCGGTTCCTTGGAACCGGACTCAACAGAAGCGGTTCTTTAAATACTCGAAACCGCACATCACTACTCTGCATTCTGCGAGACCAAACATTTTATTGATAGATCAGTGATAGCCAGAAAGAGTTTTTGCCCTGTCCACAATCATATAAAATCTACAGAAAGCTTCAAAAAGCTCTACACACAGGCTATTTCGCCTGATCGTGACTCAACGTTTTATAGATATGTAGTATAGTACATATGTATCAAGCTTTTTAAATATCTAGGTGCATTTTATATGGGTATGGTTTAGAAAAAAACTCTCTCTGGCCAATACGGTAATAGATCAGTCACGACGAGGCAGAGCTTTTACTCTCTGCATGTCTATATAAAAAGAATAGAATTTTTAAATATTTCAGAAAAGCTTTATTTTTTAAAATAATTTAAGAGTAAATGCAAGAATCGCGACTGAGTCCATTGTATTGCTTTGACATTTACTCAATTAAACGCAACTTCGAACTGTCATTCCCTTTGAATAGGGTTAAATGTACATTGGTATGACTTAATTATTTATTGGCAAAATTCACCTTTGCGCAAAACCAGTTCAATAACACATCACAAACGTTTCTTATTTTTTCTTAGGATAGGTTAGTTGCACAATTTTAATCAGTCATATATATGTATGTATATGTAGGTATGTATATATTCACTGATTACATTTGACTGATATCACTTAATGCACATATAAGTACTTCATATCGATAAGCTCATCGAACTTCCGCTAGTATTAATTGCTTTGTGGTCGGATGTTTGATATGTGAGTAATTGTTATTGGTCTACTGATAACTGTTAAGGAAGCGGTCGGAAGGAAATGTAACCACAAAATAAACAAATAAATATTTTAACATATACATAACTGCGATATTTATGACAATGAAAGAAATGTATAGGACATCGTCCCATACAAATGTATGTATATTAGGGTGGAGTAAAAACCAAAAAATTCGCGTTTCGAAATTCTAATAGCGGGCCATAGTTGTCTTTCTTCATGGCACTAGAATACCTCAAATTGTTTTTGAAGTCGGTAAATACTTTCTGCCTCCCCTTTTTGATTGAAATTTAGATATTTTTGCTCATTTTAAAGAATTAACGTAATTGTTCAAAATCATCTTTATAATAATGGTCTACAAAGCTGCATATTTATCTATAATTTTTCTAAAAATTTTTTTTGATGAATTACGGTATTTTTATAGAATTTACAAAAAACTAAAATTTTCAATAAAAAAAGACATGCAGAGAAGCAAAATTTTTTGCTTCCGCTCCACCCTACTGTGCATGTACATATGTATATATATATACATATGTATGTACTTAAATTTGTCGCAGCAATACGAAAATAATCAAAATGAACGCAGCTTAAGCTGTTGAATAATGATTAATTGGCCAAAAGTGGTTTAGTCAAGTACTTATGTAAGTGAGTGCATTTGCAAACAAGTACCTTTGGGACTTAATAGTATAAGTTATAACTTATTTCTTTCTTTAATAGCCCTATATATGTATATTGAAATAAAAATTTTTAGATAAGAATTTCTTACTTTTTAATGCGAATTCGGGAATTATAGTACTTTCGTAACTCATGTCTCGGGATTCAACTTGATTTATAAAATTCTTCCTTTTATTTTCGAAGTGCACTCAGAGCTTTTTTTAAATACTGCGGTGCGCATTCACAACAAACACAAAGACAACATTCCAAAGCACAAACTCAATTATCTCTGAGTATGTAGATAGCCACAGCTGCAATGTAATCCAAAACTGCAATCGAACAGCAATACTAAAATATTGTGTTCATATAAATATTTTCACTTACATAGCTTTTATTTGGAGAATTCGCAGACTTATCGTCGTAAAAGTTTTGTTGTACAATTAATTTTCAATTGACATTGACCACACTAACCCAACTGCTGGCTATGTACCTACTTGTACAAGCAGTCATCAGCAAGCGGCCAACAGACAACCGCCAAACTGTGTGCAAACAATCCAGCCAAGGAAAATACATACCACGAATTTTGCGAATATTTGCATTCG